TTTTATCTTTCTTGCCAACACTTTTCAAGTTGAGGTATTAGAAGCTACATTCACTAAAATATTGATTCGACGAATCTAAACATAAAATTCAACTTGTAAAGATCAAAGCTTGTAGGAATGACTTAACTATCATACTACAATTATAGTGATATGCAAAGTAGTTTAGGCAAAAGTAAATTGAAACCAAAATTTTTATTATGATTCAAAAGTAATGTAATCCTCCAACTATCCTATGGTTGAAGAGGATATTACTCAAAATTTGTATCTATCTAGTCGATATATAGTACGTTATAGTAAAAGTAGGTTTAGGATGAAATCCTTGGTCGGGTGTGATGATAGCTTAGCTTGCTTATTCTACGGCTGTAGAAATCCAGGAGAAAAGGGGATCTGGGCACGCCCGAGCCATTGTTCATCAGCCATCAGGAACGGTCCAGGAGTAAACTGCTTAGCAACCTCTGGAGAAATGTTCCTCTTGTAACCCTTCCATTTCACCCTTTTATCGGTTGAAGCTCCTGGGCCGCGGTTTTGATACTCTGCGTACCAGCAAGTGTCCAGGTACATGGTCCCTTGCCATATAGACCAACCTTCTGGGACGACGATGTCGTCAATGAAAGTGAACATGATGAGTGTCCTGGAGAACTCCTTCCATGGCCTCCCGAGGAACACTTTGATGGGTGGGTTGGCGGCCTTCAGGGCGGGTTCAGCGAGGATCTCGCAGGATTGGAGGACAATGGCGGCTGCTCCTCGCCTGTCCTTTCTACCTTGAGCGGTCACCATGCACTCCTGGTTGGCCATTGGCTTCCTCACGATCATCTTGCAGTTCTGGAACACGACAGGGGCATTCCCGAAGATGAAGTCGACGGTGCCGCTGATGGTGCAGTCGCGGTAAAACTGGCGGTAAGAGTGGGTGTAGAGGGTGTCTTGGTAAGCATTAAGGTGACAATTATAGACCGCCGCCATGTCGGCTGAGATCCTAAGAGCCACGGCTTGGTGCTTCACCGCCCCGGCCGAATTCTCGATTGTAAGATCTCGGCAAATGAAACCCTCCCCTTCAACAATCACCGTGCCGCACCTATAAGTGCCGCCGGGCCACTTGTCTTCCACATTCCTGTTTCCGGTGATCACGGTTTTGGTCGGGCCCTCTCCCACGAAAGCAATGTTGTTCTTCTTACTAGGAATCATCACGTATTCTTTGTACACGCCGGCCTTGATTAAGATGACGATTCGGCGGTTGTTTATGGCAGGGATGGAGTTAAGAGCGGCGTTGATGGACTTATACTTGCCACTTCCGTCCTGGGCAACCACAATGTCGGCTTTGGGGGGAGCAGCCAGGAGGTGGCGAGTGGCAGGGTCTGCGAATGGAGAAAGTATTTCATCAGTGGAGTCTACTGGGTTTCCATGGTCATCTTTGAGGGGCGCCGGCTCTTCTAACAACCTACGACTGAGGCCAGGGATTTCCAAGGACTTGATGAAATCGTCGAGCTTAGAGACAATAGCCAGGGCGTTGCTGGTGAGCTCCATGGAGGTTTTAAGGAGGTGCTTCATTTTCTCGCCGGTGTCGCCGGTGGTGTTCTCGAAGGCATCCAAGCAAGTATCTTGGAAAGTCATGGCGGCGGTTAGCCAAACCCTGAGATCGCTACCGTGTCGGTTGTTGAGGTGAGTAGATTTGTCAAGTACGTAAATAGACCTCTTGAAATCTACAATTGAGTGGTCTAGCACCTCCTTGCATACGTCCAGTGCAGCGGAGGTCATGGGGTCCTTTTCTGCCCTCTTGATAAGCTCCGACTTGGAAATGACGCCGGCAATGCTCTCCCACGCCACCGAGAACGCCGCCTTGATAAGCTCCTTGGGGTCGTTGGAGTTATTAGCTTTTGCAACGCTCTTCTCGCACAGCTCCTTGAAATCGGTTGACTGGCAAATGGATTTCACCGCATGCTTTATATGATCCGACTTGGAAATCACGTCTGCCAAACCTTGCAGCGAAAACGCCGACTTCATAACCTCGTGTGTGCTCAGCTTATTAGTAGCGTGAATCTCAGTAGCGCCACAGGTCTCTTTGTCATCACCTTCAGCACATGACTCGGTGGCGGTGGCGGTGGCTGCCACCACGAAAGCTAGGAGGAGGATGGAAGCGATTCCAAGAAGACCCAACTTTTTATTCTTTTGAGTAGACCCCATTTTTACTTGTTTTTGTCTCTTGAATAGGGGTGCCTTTGAGGCTTTGATGTTTGAAATGTGCAATTCTGATAACGCTATTTATAGCATTCAGAGGCGACCAGCAGACCCACAGATACTATTCTGTTGAGGAAATTGAGGTTATTCACATATATGTTTCGTTTTACCAGGAAATTACATTATATAACTTTATTATCTTTATATATAGTTTTTCATCCTCAATTTTTTATTCTATATATATATATATATATATATATATATATATATATATATATATATATATATATATATTTTTTTTTTTTTCATCCTCAATTTTTTATTCTATATATATATATATATATATATATATATATATATATATATATATATAGAATAAAAAATTGAGGATGAAAATATATATATATATATATATATATATATATATATATATATATATATATATATATATATATATATATATAGAATAAAGTTCAAATGCGGCGGGGTCTTCCCGTGCGGCGGAATTCCAGAATACACCAACAGTGTTAACAATATGCACCAACAGTGTAATAAAAACACACCACAATGAAATGCAATAAAACATCACAAAATACACAACAGACTCAAAAAAATACACCATATAACTCACCACCCCAATGGTGTATTTTTGAACAGTGTATGGTGTTTTTACTCACACCTAATGGTGTGTGTTTGGTGATGCAGGGCACTGTTTATTCTGTTTTGTGTGGTGTATTTTCCTAACGTTGATGGTGCATATTTGTTGAACTATTGGTGTTGCCGCACCGTAAGAAATCGTCGCACCGTAAGACACTGTCGCACCTGAACTTGCTTCTATATATATATATATATATATATATATATATATATATATATATATATATATATATATATATATATATGCATTAATTACATAATTAGTTTAAAAGTTTATGGTGATTAATATATACTGTATAAAATAAAACAGGTGATGCTATCTAATATTTTGAGTAAATACTTAAAATGGTCACTCGACTATATCTAAATTCACAAATTAGTTCTCGAGTATTGTGGTTGAAATAATGTTTTAGGTGCGGCGGTGCGGCCATATCAGCATCGTCCATTCTGCTTAATCTAACAGCAGCGGCTAATTTATGAAGATTTAAATATTTAAGCGCGTCCTGGTAAATGTGGGGTGTTATGGTAATTGTAGTGGTCATTTATATCGACGCTTGTAAGAATACACCAACAGTGTTAACAAAATACACTAATTGTGTTAGGAAAAAACACCACAATGAATGCACAAATACACCAAAAAAACACACAACACACCCAAAAAATACATCATATAACTCACCACCCCAATGCTGTATTCTGAACACTGCGTGATGCTTTTATTCATACCTAATGCTGCGTTCTGGTGATGCGTATCTAATTTGTGCATGTTTTTTTGGTGTGCATTTTCTAACATGGATGGTGTATATTTGTATAACTATTACTGCGCCCCATGAGAAGGCGCGGACGCACCTGAACATGGCACCAACACGAATCATCAAATACACCACAATATGGTTAATAATGCACCAATGACGAACATAAAACACACAACACTATGATTTGATCTACTCTGGTGCCCAATGACGACTTTAACCTTGGAGTTCGCATAGTGTGAGAACGTGCGCAAAAATATCAAAAAAGCCTTGATGAATGTGATTTGTTGGATTTATCTAATCTAATGACTTACAATTAACCGCACCGCCGCACTTGAACCTTCCTCTCTCTCTCTCTCTCTCTCTCTCTCTATATATATATATATATATATATATATATATATATATATATATATATATATATATATATATATGAGCATATTCGATAATAAATTCAAATAATAAATTGAATTACAATTTTAAAGTAATATATTCTTCCATGATTGAAAAATGAATCAAGTTGCTGGCCCAAAACAATTGATACATGTATATATGTCATAAGATGATTTAAATAAGTATCTGACCAATAAGAAAAACAGAACTCCTTTTATTTATAAGCACCCGTGCAATGCACATGATAAAAATTTAACTATATTTCAAAAAAAAAAAATTGAATTACTAATACACATCTCAAGAAAGCATATAATTATTTAATGCGAAATATGAATTTATATATATATATATATATATATATATATATATATATATATATATATATATATATATATATATATATATATATATTTAATATCAAATTTTTAAAAACTTCTTGATATACAACATTTATTGTTGAAGAAGTATAGTCACCATTCTCACCTAATACCACTACTTTAAGACCATTTGGACTGTTAACTCTAGACAAAATCACATACAATTGTCCATGCACAAACACAGATTTTTTCAGAAGTAAACCAACTTTTGTAAGGCTTTGTCATTGACTCTTATTTATTGTCATTGCATAAGACAACATTAGAGGAAATTATCTCATTTGAAACTTAAATGGCAATCGAGGATTAGACGATCAATGACAACCTTGAAATCAAAACTTGTGTACCCATACTATTTCCTGACATCACTTTCGCTTCTACAACACGATCTCCTAATTTAGTAATGACCAATCTCATACCATTGCACAAACCAAGAGTATGGTCAATGTTCCGTAAAAGCATAACTGGAGATCCAACTTACAAGTTAAGACAATGATTTGGAATGCCCGAACATTTCAAAGTTTTAAGAAATTATGTGGTATGTAATCCACCTAAAGTGTCTACCCCAGAATCTGATTAACAAACGGAATCACAACTGAAATAATAAGTTTTAGTCTCTGCCGGATTCAAACCACTCATTTACTCATTGATTTCATGAACTAATTAAATCCAGAGTTAGGGCTAGAATAGCCCGACCATTTAGAGAGTCCATATAAAGATTGCCTGAGCAAAATTCCGGGAATGTTCTATTTACTATTGCTGCAATTGAATCTCCATTTGGCCGCAATGCATTTTGTTCCGGAATGTTTATTACTGCCGAACCATCATTGGTCCCACCAATCAATCCATCACCTACAGCTATCCACTTTGAAAATGCGTCAATATCGGCATAAGTCTCATTTTCCCCCAAACGTTGTAATCTCATATTCTTAGTCAATCTTAGGACTTTACAACTATGCCAAAGATAAGATGAGTTGATACTTGCTCCAACTATATCTTGTCTTTTTCCCTTAGGAATCATAAGCAGTATTTGTCTGAAATCACCACCAAGAACCACAATTTCCCCTCCAAATGTCATTTCTGTACTCAAAGGATTCACAAATCAAAGGATTCACAAATCGTAATAAATCTCTCATGATTCGATCCAAAGCCTCAAAGCAATGTTCATGCATCATTGGCACTTCATCCCAAATAATAAGCTTGCAGTTTATAATTAACTGGGCCAAATCACTCCCTTGAGATACGTTACATGTTGAATCTTCAGTTATATTGATTGGCATAGCAAACCAGGAATGGACAGTCCTACCACCCAGCATAAGCAGAGAGGCAATACCACTCGAGGCGACATTTAAAACGATGTTACCCTCTGAACGTAGAGCTGACAATGGCTTCCAAACGAATGTTTTACCAGTTCCTCCATTACCGTAAACAAAAAATAAACCGCCTAAATATGACCATACATCACAAATTAAATATGAGCATACATCACATTTCTAAAAATCATGACTTTAATTTGTAACACCATGAGAAAATTACTTCAAACATAATAGGGCGTAACCGAGACTCGGCAATATATATATATATATATATATATATATATATATATATATATATATATATATATGCCTAAATAACTATACCAATTAAGGCTCTCTCTCAAGTCTCAAACATGATTATCAAGTTGAGAAACCTTGGCACCACTAAAAGGCAAGCTCGCATCCTTGCTCTTTACCTCTGCAATCTCAGGTAACGCTACTATACCTTCTCGTGCAAGGCTTTGCAGTGGATATACAAGACCACATTTAATTTGCGGCTAAACTGTGAAGGATCAGCTCAGTAACTATACTTGAACTGTACACCACCATACTTGCATCTGTCAAGAAGAAAATCCATCTGTTCGTAAAGTTTGCACCAACCATGCCCAACCATCAACGAGATTACAAGGCCGTAAAGTAGCAACATGATACTTTGAAGAAAATAAACAAGTTAGAAATAGAATTTAATATTAAAATTAAAATATCATTATAAAAAATGAAATGTTAAAATCAAATTGTATAGGATGACGATATAAGGCATCTATTAGGATTATTAGATCGAATAGAAAGAAGGAATTGAGAAAGATAACGACACCTTAAATTGGTCAGTATTACATGATGATTATGAAATAAATAAAAAAATATTTATTAGAAGCTACATTCACTAAAAAGATTGATTCGAGCCTAAACATAAAACTCAACTTGTAAGGATCAATAATGCTTGTAGGAATTTAAGAATGACTTAAACTATCAAATTATAGTGATATGTAAAGTAGCGCAAAAGTAAATTGAAACCAAAATTTTTATTATGATTCAAAAGTAATGTAATCCTCCAAAAGTAATATCCTATGGTTGAAGAGGATATTACTCAAAATTTGTATCTATCTCAATGAATGAATGAGCCAAACAAGTGGTTAGTTTGGAGAGACGACATGAAAACTTACTCCTCCTATATATATATATATATATATATATATATATATATATATATATATATATATATCTACTCGGATCGATTGTACGTTATAGTAAAAGTAAGTTGATCGGATCGGAGTAGGGTGAAATCCTTGCTCGGGTGTGATGATAGCTAGCTTAGGTTGCTTATTCTACGGCCGTACATATCCAGAAGAAAAAGGGATCCCGGCGCGCCCGAGCCATTCATCAGCCAACATGAACAGTCCAGGAGTAAACTGCTTAGCAACCTCTGGAGAAATGTTCCTCTTGTAACCCTTCCAATTCACCCTTTTAGCGGTTGAAGCTCCTGGGCCGCGGTTTTTATACTCTGCGTACCAGCAAGTGTCCAGTGCAAACTCGCCCTGCCATATAGACCAACCTTCTGGGACGACGATGTTGTCAATGAAAGAGAACATGATGATTGTCCTGGAGAACTCCTTCCATGGCCTCCCGAGGAACACTTTGTTGGGTGGGTTGGCGGCCTTCAGGGCGGGTTCAGCGACGATGTCGCAGGATTGGATGACAATGGCGCTTGCTCCTCGCCTGTCCTTTCTACCTTGAGCGGTCACCATGCACGCCTGGTTGGCCAATGGCTTCCTCACCACCATCTTGCATTTCTGGAACACGACAGGGGCATTCCCGAAGATGAAGTCGACGGTGCCGCTGATGGTGCAGCCGCGGTAGAACTGGCGGTAAGAGTGGGTGTAGAGGGTGTCTTGGTAGGCATTGAGGTGACAATTGTGGACAACCGCCATGTCGGCTGAGATCCTAAGAGCTACGGCTTGTTCCTTCACCGCCCCGGCCGTATTCTCGATTGTAAGATCTCGGCAAATGAAACCCTCCCCTTCAACAATCACCGTGCCGCACTTATAAGTGCCGCCGGGCCACTTGTCTGCCACATTCCTATTTCCCGTGATCACGGTTTTGGTGGGGCCCTCACCCACGAAAACAATGTTGTTCTTCTTCCTAGGAACCATCACGTATTCTTTGTACACGCCGGCCTTGATTAAGATGACGATTCGGCGGTCGTTTTTTTCAGGGATGGAGTTAAGAGCGCCGGTGATGGTCTTAAACTTGCCACTTCCGTCCTGGGCAACCACAATGTCGGGTCTGGGGGGAGCAACCAGGAGGTGGCGAGTGGCAGAGTCTACGAATTGAGGAATCTCTTCATCAGTTGTGGGTGTGGGTTCTTCTAACAACCTACGACTGATGCCAGGGATTTCCAAGGTCTTGAGGAATTCATCAAGCTTAGTGACCATAGCCAGGGCGTTGCTGGTGAGCTCCATGGAGGTTTTAAGGAGTTGCTTCATTTTCTCGCCGGTGTCGCCGGTGGTGTTCTCGAAGGCATCCAAGCAAGTCTCCTCGAAAGTCATGGCGGCGGTTAGCCAAACCCTGAGATCGTAACCGTGTCGGTTGCTGAGGGAACTAGATTCCCCAATAACGTTAAAAGACCTCTTCAGATCTTCAATGGAGTGGTCTAGCACCTCCTTGCATACGTCCAGTGCAGCGGAGGTCATGGGGTCCTTGTCCGCCCTCTTTATAAGCTCCGACTTGGAAATGACGTCGGCGATGTTCTCCCAGGCCACTGAGAACGCCGCCTTGATAAGCTCCTTGGGGTCGTTGGAGTTATTAGCTTTTGCTACGCTCTTCTCGCACAGCTCCTTGAAATCAGTTGACTCGCAAATGGATTTCACTGCGTTCTTTAAATGATCCGACTTGGAAATCGCGTCCGCCAAACCTTCCAGCGAAAACGCCGACTTCATAACCTCGTGTGCGCTCATCAGCTTATTACTAGAGTGAATCTCAGTAGCGCCACAGGTCTCCTTGTCATCACCTTCAGCACATGACTCGGGGGCGGTGGCGGTGGCAGCCACCACGAAAGCCAGGAAGAGGATGGAAGCGATTCCAAGAAGACCCAACTTTTTATTCTTTTGAGTAGACCCCATTTTTACTTGTTTTTGTCTCTTGAATAGGGGTGCCTTTCAGGCTTTGATGATTGAAATGTGCAATTCTGATAACGCTATTTATAGCATTCAGAGGCGACCAGCAGACCCACAGATATTATAACTAACAAGTAACAACCTTAGCTTCATTCTGTTCAGGAAATTGAGGTTATTCACATATATGTTTCGTTTTACCAGGAAATTACATTATATAACTTTATTATCTTTATAAATTTTCATCCTCAATTTTTTATTCTATATTCTATATATATATATATATATATATATATATATATATATATATATATATATATATATATGTGTGTGTGTGTGTGTGTGTGTGAAAATAACAGTCATTGCATCAACCGCAATAAATTCATGCTCTTGCCTTTATAACTTTTCATCATAGAATTTTTATTCAAAGTTTATAGAAATTATATATATATATATAACAAAAGAAGTGGTGCTATCTAATATTTTTGATCTACTCATTCTTAGGATATTTTTCCTAAGTTTTATTTATTATTTTTCTTATTCGGTTTGGCACGCATAGCTGAAACTAGAGATAGTCTCTAGTTTCAGCGTCGGCTTGGATAAGATCGACTTGGCCAAGTGCAGGGAGAAGGGTATTCGGGTGACTTCAAGTTGACTACCAAGGTTCAATCGCTTCTTTTTATATCATTTTCTATAGACAAAGTACAAAGATCGAATTTTTAGTTACAGAAAACAAAACTGTGTTGGTTAAAATAGTTTAATTTTGGTCCTCCTTTGTTTCCCCCCTATATGTCTTCTAAGTGCTTGGTGAAATACTCTGAAATAATCTACATTCAGGACTAGAATTTTATAGAAAGAATGTTAGAGGCAATTATGTTCCTCATATGCCTTCTTAGTACTTGGTGAAATACTCTGAAATAACATTCATTCAAGACTATAAATCTACAGAAAGAATGCTAGAGGCGATTATGCTCTCAGCTTGAATATTGTTGTTTGAATTGTTGAATGAAAGGGATTTGGCAGTCTTATTGAGTACTCATCAGAAACTAAATACAAATGGCATCGTTGTTAAGTGAGTGGCAATTCTATTTGCTGTTGATAAGTGTTTCTTGGTCTGTGGAACGTCATGGATGAGAAACTAGTTGTCTGGTTGGTCAACTGAAACCTGTTTCCCTTTATTTGTAACTATAACTATTCTCTCTTAACTTTGGTGGCATAAATGTTTGCATTAGTTCAATGTGGCTTTACACTGCTATCTGAACTTAATTTCATCATTTTTCTTACCCCCCAAAAAAATCTTCAAAGTAGCTAGAAGTTTGTTTAAAAGTGTAGCGTTTGTCTTCCTTTAAGGATGGATAGTTTGATACTCATTCTAACCTTATTTGTTGCCACCCTACTTTGCAGTTTAGTGGCAAAACTGTTGGAATTATAGGGCTTGGAAGAATTAGTTTAGCTGATTGTAGCAAAAATGAGTGATGGTGAGTGTACGGGTGTGAAATGTCGTCCTCAGGGTTCTGTGGGATATGACACGCAATATGTAATCACAAGAAATTAGACACTAGCACAAGAAATGAACAAGAAGCTAAGCAACAAGAAGTTTAAAGAAATGGTAATTAAACGAGATAGCACAAACACATATTAACAATATATAAACACAAAATAAAGAAATATGACTTAAGCTAGGGAGCATTATCATCTAGATGCATAGCACAACCTAAAGATTGGGAAAAATCACACAACCAAGGAATTGAGAGGATGAACGTAGGAATCCTAGTCTAAAATTCATTCTCGTGATCAATAAACAAGGATGAACAAGGAATTGTCTCACTCTCATGATGCATCAACTCCAAGTTCTTCAAGCACACAAAACATCAAAGCCCCCAATTTCCCCTATTTTCGTAGGAATAAATCGGGTTTATGCAAGGAGTGACTTGGAATCTTGACCCAACTCTCATTGAGGCCAAGAATCCAAAACATGCTAATGAATTTTGTACACCAAACATTAACAATATACAAACACAAATCCTTCATAAACTCAAGAACCCTAGGTTAGAATTCTTCCCCTTTTTGCAATAATCACAAATTAAGCATCAAGATAGATAATACAATCCTAACTCAAGTCCATAAACTAACTACTCATGATTAAATAACATAAAGAACACAAAAACACAAGTAATAAACATAAATCTTGCAAAAGAAAGAGATAAAAGGTAGAAGAACTTATGTATTGAAAATTGGAGAATAATCTTGAAATGTTGGAATCCAAGATTACAAGCTTCCAAAATGTTATAGAACCTAAATCTAAGCCTAATCTAACACTAAAATATGATAGGAAGTGAAGGAGAGAAACTAGGGCTCAACCATGGGTCAAAACCGAGATAAAATGAGTGAAAAGGGTGTTAAATATGAACAAAGTGCAAGTGGCACGGCCAGTGGCGGACCCAGGAATTTTTTCCAGCGGGGGCAAAACATTAGCAAAATTGATAATTAGAAAAAAAATGAAACACTTAAAAAGTATATCCATAAATAATGTTGGATATAAGAAAATTATAAAACACACCAAAACATTATAAAAATATTCATAACAAAATATGAATATAATCAATTTGATAAAATAATTTGAATAAAAGATCCATTATAAATTACACATCTCATATCATTATTAATATATAAATGAATATTATATTATTGTGTTGAAACAATATGTACTATTAATAATAGTGAAAATGAACCCGCATGGGTAGCTCAACTGGTCATAGAGGTGAAACTTTGGAAGAATGATCAGGGATCGAGGCAACCACTCAAAGTGAGGGGGGCTTCTCTGTGCTCTGTCGGGTTGGGGTAATCAATTTCATAAAATAATTTGAATAAAAGAAAAATATTCATAACAAAATATGAACATAATCAATTTCATAAAATAATTTGAATAAAAGATCCATTATAAATTACACATCTCATCTCATTATTAATATATAAATGAAGATTATATTATTCTGTTGAAGCAATGCGTACTATTAATAATAGTGAAAATGTGAAAAGGTAGTGTTAATAAGAAAGTTGACAATAGATAGAGGAGAATTGAACCCTAGCCTACATTTTAGCCAACTACGCGCTCAGCCAACTAGGCCAAGCCACACTTTGCTAAAATTTCTCTATTTTATAATACTAATACTAAAACTTGTACTATATATACACATATACATACAAGGGTTACATAAGGGGTGGGGGTGGGGTGAGTGGGGGCAGTTGACCCCACTGCCCCCACTGTAGGTCCGCCTCTGGGCACGGCGGTGTCCAAAAACTGCTCTTCAGGGCAGTAGCTACTGGAAATCACGCAATAATAATACACGGCCGTGAACTTGGCCGTGTCTTTTGGCCTTCAAAACATCAGATTTTGGAATTATGTTTTTCATGAAAGTTATATCCCTTTGAGTCTTCTTTCCAATGGCGCAAGAGTCACTTCATTTGGACTTTCCTAGGCGAAGATACAGTCAAAATACTGAACAGTGGTCGGTTTTGGACTGTAAGTTTTGAACTTCAACTTCAAAGATGATTTTTACCACTGTGGCTTCCTTTTTAGGTTTTGATGTCTTTATAAGAATTGTATCCCTTTGAGTCTTCTTTCCAATGGAACAAGAATCACTTAATTTAGATACTTCTAGACCGAGATATGGGCTGAATAAATAATAGTGGCCAATCTATGCGAAAATTTCAGAGTGTTGACACTTGTTCCACTTTTGTTTTGGTTTAATACTTTAATTTGTCCATATGATCAACACCATTGAAAACACCACTCTTTTTGGCTCCTTAGAAAGTGTTGCATCCATCTCTTTAGTTTCACATTGGCTCCCCTTGACTCCAAATGCATCCAAAATGATCCAAACTCCTTCATTTCTACTCAAAGATAATGAATTGTGCCTAATTGATCAAATGAATAAAATAATTAAGGATCATTTTGAATAGGGGTGGGTGTAATTCGGATTATGAACTAACACCCGAAATCCGAACTGAATTTTAAATTTTGGGTGAATCCAAATAGTTATAGGGATCGAGTGTTAAAAATTCTATCCACACCCGATCCGAAACCTAAACTAACCGAAATTTTATTTTATATATATATATATATATATATATATATATATATATATATATATATATATAGTTTTAAATGTATTTCATAATTAATAATATATTAATTTTTAAAAGTCTAATGGTTAATTATTAGTATTTGTCTTATTTTTATTTTGATACTATATGAAAAAATATAAATAATAAAATTATTAAAAATTTTCAAAATTGATAAAACAATATTTTGGGTATATCCAAACTAACCCGAAATAATTTTACCTGAATCGAACATATTCGAATTAAATTTTGTTCGGATATCGGGTGTCGAAAACATCACTCGAAATTTGCGGATATCCGAAATAAAATTCGGGTATCACCCGAACCGAACCGACGCCCACCCCTAATTTTGAACATCATTGTGACACTTCATAAGCAGAACAAGGTTAAATATGAGGAAGAAATATTGTATAAATATGAACAAATATGCACTTATCAGTTGCCAAGAGAGCAGAAGCTTTTGATTGTTCAATCTGCTACCATGCCAGATCAGAGTAACAATGGAGTTCTTCCTATTGCTTCTCTGCGTCAAATACGTACATATACTGACGAAAATGAGGAAGAAGAGAGCAAGCAAATGAAAAGACCATGTTGGCCCCTAAACTAACGGTTAAGAGACGGATGGATAACGAAAGGACTATTGCTGGAACAAATTAGAAAGTCAAGTGTCTTTTTCGTCCAAATTAAAAGTCGAGGACTAATTTTGGAAAATCGCAATAGTCGGAGGACCATTGCTGAAATTAACTTTAACTCATAATGTATATTATTCTAACTCATAAAATTCAACGACATCGTTTTGAACTGTGGTCCACACAGCTGTGATTTTCCCAAGTTACTTATTCCTTCTCATGCCACTATGCAAGCAATCGTTATACTGTGGAATCGTGTCCACCTTGCAAGGTGAACACGGTTCTATATTCATAATTACTTAACTATATGTTTATAATTATAAAGCTATATATTCATAATTTTTGAATTTCATATTCATAATTGTTGAACTCTATATTTACAATTATAGAACCCTATGTTCATAATTACTGAACTATATGTTCATAATTATAAAGGTATATATTCATAATTTTTGAACTTCATATTCACAATTATTGACTTTATATTCATAATTACAGAACTATATATTCATAATTATGTTCACAACTCTATATTTATAATTATAGAATTATATATTCATAATTTTTGAACTATATATTTATAATTATGAACAACTCTAGAATCGTGTCCACTTGCAAGGTGGACACGATTCCACAGCATAATTTGCCTCGTGCCAGACCAATCATTATTGTGTGGACCATATTTTATCTACTGTAAAATAATGTACATTCAGTATAAAAGTAATGTACATTCAATACAAAAATAATGTACATTGTATTAAAGGGATGAACGTTATTTTTGTTCTGAGTGTACATTTTATTGTATGTATAACGTATATTAAATATAAAAATAATGTACATTCAGTATATTAAAAATGTACTTTTTGTTATGGTACACATAACATTGTGTGGACCATGGTCCACACAATAATTTGCCGTGCTCGACTGCCAGGTCGGTCGTGGGCCATGGGCCCTAGTAATACCACCTATTAATTTTTAATTTTTAATTTTTTAATTTTCATCTTAATAAATATATGGTAAACTCTATACGTAATTTTGAAAGAAAAATAAATATAAATATTTGTAAAATTTTGGTAAAAAAATATGAGTTGCTCTAAATTAGAATCTTTTTTTTTTTTTTTTTGAAAATTATATGGTGTTATATTAAAAATAGGTCGAAATAATATCTGGTGGGAGCAAATCCCAATACATAGCAGCTGGTTGCTGATAAGCCGTAATAGCTAAAGCATGAGCTAAATAATTGTCTAATCTAGGAATTAAATGAAACGAACAAGACTAAAATAAATATGCAGTCAGCCTGCAGTTGTCAATGGCATAGCCTAGGTACGTACGCAACGCAACGGTTGGTGTGGTAAGATAGCGGTGTAGCGTTAGACAATCCGTGTATATCTCGACAATTTGTTCTCCCCGATCCTTCAACCATGATAGTGCCTCCTTGCATGCTAATGCCTCGGCCATAAGGGGCGAGGTACAATTCCGAAGTGGTCCGGCATGAGCCAAAACATAAGCTCCATTCGTGTCTACTAGAACAGCTCCACCCGCAGCTTGGCCTGTCTCTGGCAAGAATCCCGCGTCGACATAACAAATTCTCTTGGGCGGTCCATACTGCGGCTCGGCAGCGTGTGGCTCGGCATGGTTCTGCTCGGCGTCCTCCTGCACCAAAGGTGGCTCGGTGGGCAGTGGGGCAGCACGGGCTACGGGTGGTGGATGCGCCCGGGTCCACGATTCCTTGGCTGCAGCAGCGATCTTGAGTATGGTGGTCGGCCGTGGTAACTTTGCTTCCCAAACCGCCATATTCCTTGCTCTCCATATATTGTAAAGGATTGCTGCTGCATATAATATTCCATCAGAGTCTAGAACATTTAAAAGTTCACCAAATCAAGCATGAAAAATATTTGTGTCAATGTTGGGGATCGTAAGGTTGGATTGTCCCCAAATGTTCTTTGCAAATTCACACAACACTAGGGCATGCATTGTGTGTTCTTGAACTACTCCACACATGGCACAATGTGGATCCACATCCACTCTCTTTATAAGTAAGTTGGTTGTGGTATGCAAAATATCACTAATGGCTCTCCAGAGGAACATTTTCCATTTTGGGGGGATTTTGAGCTTCCAAAGGTTCAACCATTTTGCAAATGTCCCATTATTCTCTTGATAATTTCCAACAATTCTCCTGTACCCATTTTTAACAGAATATATTCCCCTTGGGTCTCCATGCCAGTACCAAGTGTCATCATAATCCGGGGATACAGGTATTTTCATAATATTCTCCACATCATTGGGTTGGAATAAATCTGTTAAAATTGAGGGATCCCATGTGCCAGTTTGTTGATCAATCAAACCTGCCACTCTGGCTTCCTGCAGCTGTGCTAGCATTTCTGTTTGTATCATAGGGTCATGGTCATCTTGTAACCAGGGGTAAGCCCATATGAGTGAGACTCCCCGTTACCAATTCTGCGCCTTACCCCACTGCAAACTATACTTTTTGCTGCCATAATACTTCGCCAGCAGAAACTGGGATTATTTCCTATCTGTGCATCAAAAAAAGATCCCCTAGGGAAATATCGGGCCTTATACACACGAGCCACTAAAGATTCAGGTTTAGTCAACATCCGCCATGCCCGTTTTCCCAGCATTGCTAGATTAAACGCACGTAAGTCCTTAAAACCCAATCCTCCGTATTTGTTCGGGATACACAACTTATCACAAGCCTTCCAATGTATTCGCCTGTCAGTTCCAGAATCCCACCAATATCGATTCATAGTTCTCTCTATTGTCGTACACACAGATATAGGCAGCAAAAAAACACTCATCGAAAATGTAGGCATAGATTGTGCTACTGTTTTCAACAGAATTTCCTTACCTGCCTGTGTCAGCAGTTTTTTATTTCATGACCCAATCCTTTGGCGGATTTTGTCCTCAATATATGCAAAAACTGCTTTCTTGTGTCTTCCAACAAACGAGGGGAGTCCCAAATATTTGCCAAAATTCAGGGCCTGTGTCACTCCCAGAATCTGAGCCACATTTTCCCTATCAGTCATACTTGTGTTCCTGCTATAACATATGCTTGACTTATGATAGTTTACTGCCTGCCCTGACAGGTCCTCGTACACAGATAGGCACCTTTTGATTTCACCTGCTTCCTCCACATTAGCTTTAAAGAATAAGAGGTTGTCATCTGCAAAGAATAAGTGAGAGATTGGGGGCACCTCTGGCTACCCTGCATCCATGTAATGACCCCACATTATGCGCCTGCTGTAGCAATAGGGACAAACCTTCTACGCAAATAATGAATAGATATGGGGACAAAGGATCCCCTTGCCTTAACCCACGTGTTGGCACAATAGGATCACATCTTGAGTTGCTCTAAATTAGAATCTATAATTGAATTATTATTATTTTCTTTAATCTTATAATGAATGAATTGGTTATATATAACGATGCCATTGATTCTTAAATCTACTATCTACTAAATAAAATAAATATTGGGAAGGTTATAATGGGAATAAAAATTATGTTGTGTAATAATGTGAAGGAAAAATTGTTAAATAGGCTATCGAACTATTAGTATTTGTGCAATTGGGTCGTCAAACAAAAAAAGCTTTTTATTTACCAAGTATTTTATTAATACCATGAAAAAATTAAAAAATTATAATTAATAAAGCCAATCGTATTAACTACTTGAGGGATTTGGACAAAGAGAGTATTCAAATCACAAAACAAATTGAAGTGAGAATTACCTCGCAATGTCCTTGTTTAACAATTAGCAATTAGCGGTTAGCGTTAGCGGATTATGGCCTTGTTTGGCAATTAGCGGTTAGCGGTTAGCGTTTGCGGATTGTATTAGCGGTTAGCAAATAGCGGGTTTGACCAGCAGATTATATCAGCGGTTTGTAAAAAGATGTTAGGTAAAATTAGCTGTTTAGATTAGCGGTTAACATGTAAAATGACCAAAAGAGTATAATAATAATAATAATAATTTTTGAAATAATAATAATAATAATAATAATAATAATAATAATAATAATAATAATAATAATAATAAGAAAAAAAAAACAAAAATGATGTGGGATAAAAATCCCACATCTAAAGTTTTAGAAAATAAATGGTGTTGAGCTCCCTTATAAAAGGGAGCTCAACGCCAATTAGTTTCTCTTGCCCATCCCACATCGGATGGGCAAGAGAAGAGAAGCCTGAGGCTTCTTACGGATTAGTGTAATTTTTTTTTAATTTTTTTTTATAAAATAAAAATAAAAATGGAGGGTGTTTTTGGGGAAGAATTTTCCTTCCCCAAAACTCCAACCCCAAATGCTGCTCCGCGTTTGGGATTTCAGCGGTTTGGAGCAAACCGCTGCTCCAAATCGCTGAGTAACCAAACATGGTTTTTGGCGTTTTGACTGAAGTCAAAACGTCAAAATGGTGGATCCGCTATTAACCAAACAAGGCCTATATTAGCGAATTTGACGAGCGAATTATATCAACGGTTGATAAAAAGATATTTGAAAAAATTAAAAAAATATATATAATTAAGCCAATCATATTAACTATTTGGGCGATTTATTGACAAAAAGAGTATTCAAATTACACAACAAATTGAAGTGTCCTTGTTTGACAATCAGCCGTTAGCTCTTCAATATTAGTATATATTTAATATTTTATACCCTAATTTTAATATTTTATACCCTAATTTTTATTTGCTCTCCCTTATGTCCCGTATTTGATTTCAACCATACCTATACAATTATTTTATTGACAATTATAATCAATATTGACTATATTATCTTGCATTTGTAAACTTAGAATTGCCTATTTAAATACACAAATTTAACATTCAATTATCTATGCATGAACAATTTCAATATAATCTTGTCTTGATATACCTTAAAGTACTTATTTAAAAAAAAAAAAAAAACATTGGGCATTATCCCAATCGCGCAATGCGCGTAAAAAACTAGTCTACTATACTAATAAGAGCCCAAGAGAGTTAGGCCTATAATGGGTAGAAAAAATGGCGGTCAAATTTTTTAATCAAATGAATGGCTCAGATTGATTAGATTTTAATTTTTCCTTATGATTTCCTAATTTATCCTTAATGAATATGATTATCCGTTAACTTTTCCGTTAAATATTATCTTTTTCGTTAACTTCTATTAGTTCACCGTTAACTTACTCATTGATTTCAATAACAAAGGTCTTAGGTTCGAACCTCATCCAAATCAAAGTTGACATAATTAGTACTCTATTTTACTCTTATTAAATTAAATAATAATTTAGTAGCTAAAAAAAAAAATACATATGCATTTCTTTAATTTAGAATTATGTGTCTACAATGTCTTTATTAAAAAAATATTCATTATCAATAAATTAAATAAGAGAAATAATTGGATTAGTTATATTGTCTTTATTTTTCTCAAATATCAAAATTCTTTACATTCAAATTCATCAATTGATTATATTGCTACATTGTCCCTACAATGTCTTTATTAAAAAAAATTATTCATTATCAATAAATTAATTAAGAGAAATAATTTTATTAGTTATATTGTCTTTATATTTTTCCAATGTAAAAATTCATTACATTCAAATTCATCAATTGATTATATTCACTACATTGTCTATTATCTTTTTTGTGCACTATTTTTTAATTAAATATCAAAGTTAAAATACAAAATAATGCTATATATTTATTTACCAAGTATTTTATTAATACCATGAAAAAATAAAAAAATTATAATTAATAAAGCCAATCGTATTAACTACTTGAGGGATTTGGACAAAGAGAGTATTCAAATCACACAACAAATTGAAGTGAGAATTACCTCGCAATGTCCTTGTTTGACAATTAGCAATTAGCGGTTAGCGTTAGCGGATTATGGCCTTGTTTGGCAATTAGCGGTTAGCCGTTAGCGTTTGCGAATTATATTAGCGGTTAGCAAATAGCGGGTTTGACCAGCAGATTGTATCAGCGGTTTGTAAAAAGATGTTAGGTAAAATTAGCTGTTTAGATTAGCGGTTAACATGTAAAATGACCAAAAGAGTATAATAATAATAATAATAATAATAATAATAATAATAATAATAATAATAATAATAATAATAATAATAATAATAATAATAATAATAATAATAATTAATAATAATAATTTTTGAAATAATAATAATAATAATAATAATAATAATAATAATAATAATAATAATTAATAATAATAATTTTTGAAATAATAATAATAATAATAATAATAATAATAATAACAACAACAACAACAAAAATAATGATGATAGACTTTTTTTATATTTTTATAATAATTAAATTAGTGTATACAAAATTGAACTCATGTCAATTTTTTAATTTTTAATTTTTATTATTTTTTCAACTCTTTTTTTTATTAGGCTATGTTTGGCAAACCTAGCTGAAAGCTCAAAAAAGAGCTGAAAATTGAAGAGTTGTTAAGCTAACTGTAATGCTTGAAAGTGTTTATTTGTTTCATATTTTTAGTGTGTTAATTAGTGTTGATTTATCAATCTATGTTTCTGAGTGTGCTTGGATTCTTATGGGTTTAAAGCTTTAGTGTCTAAAAGTTAGCTAATTGAACAAGTACGTGTCATAGCGTCAATCCGCAGCGGAACGATAACTCTTAACCCGTAATACTTATTTGGCAATAAAACTGTACATTTGGTTACTTTGGTTATGTAGTGAAATTGTCCATTTTTTCTACAAAGTAAATAAGCTATTGGCATGCATTACTAGAGACCATACAAACTAAAGTGAAAATTATCCAGTTTTCAATGAACTATATAAACAAATTAAAGTTAACAAAAGATTGAGTAAATACCAGTCAAGGTCCCTCAAGTTTGGTGGTTTCACTACCTATAGTCCCTAACTTCCGTAATTACCATTCGTGGTCTTCCGAGTTGCGAAAACTGACCTATTATCATCCTTCCGTTAGTTTCTGCCGTCTAAACCGTCAAAAGCAGGGGCAGAAAGTTCATTTGACATATATAATTCTTTGGTAGTCATTTTCAGCCATTCCTCATTCCTGCTCATCTCTTCAACCTTCCGTTAGTCTCTCGGACAACAACTTCTCCAACCTCATTCCTGCTCATCTCTTCAACGCCACAGTGGGTTCCCATTGGAGACCCAATGTCCGGAGCCAGAAGCTCAAAACCCTAGAATTTTCCCGAATCAAGAAGCTCCGAAAGATCCAACCTTTTCATCAAACGGGTTTGGAGAGAGAGGTAAAGCGAGACCCGGGTCCAGGGCCGGATTTTAGGCTGTGCAAGCTGGGCTACCGCACAGGGCCCCCAGTTTTAGAGGGGCCCCAAATTTTAGAGGTCCAATATTTAATATTTACTGAGCTAGTTTAGATATAAAAATTAAAAGTTTTCAATTAAACTTAAAAGGTTCTATGAAGAGATGATAGCAATGTGTATTTATTGTATTTTTACTGGGAGGTTAAAGGTTCGAAACTTGGGCCTCAGTTATTTACCAGAACAGGGCCCCAAAAACCTAAAATCCGGCCCTGCCCGGGTCCGGTGCGGTTTCTTTAATTTCCGGCGTCTCGGTGGTGATCAGAGTGGTGTTCGCTTCAGTATGGGCATACCGGAAAAAATGGAATTCCGTTGAAGAAAAACTGGAGAAACAAAACCTGGACACAACAGAAGCGCACAAGACCGAAGAGGGGCAAAAATATAAATACTCAGTTCTCGACGAATGATTCTCTTTGAAAATATAGGATTTATTGAGGGCGTCAGCATACGTAGTAGGAAAGAGCAGGAGTGGTATAGTGTATAAAGTGGTGGTGGGCTTCGCCGTGACCGGCGGCGGCGGCGCCACCGTGGTGGCAGTGAGATGCCTAAGCGAGGGAGATTCCCACTTGAGTTTTAGGGAATTTGAAGCCGCAGTTGAGGCCATTGGTAGAGTCCAACACCCCAACATTGTTAGAGTGTTAGACTTAAAGCTTATTTATGCCAGTGATGAAAAATTGCTAATTACAGATTTTATCCATAATGGGAGCTTATACAATGCTTTGCACGGTAAGCATCTATCGTCTTCTTCCTTAGTTTGTTTCGTGTTTCTGCATTGCATAATCATAATTCCATTCGTTACTGATTAGTGATCACAACCAGGGACAGAACTACCTTTGGGGTTAGGGGGCCCTGCCCCCACCCCTATCGGCCTATCCTCACCCTAAATTTTTTCCTAAATATATATTATATATTGATATAGTAGGAATAAAATACACTTTTGGTTCCCCTCTATTTTTTTTTTTAAAAATAATCTATTATGTTGATATTAAATGAACTCAAAATATATATTAAAGTTCAAAATTCATTAAATAAAAAGAAATAAATCAAATAATTAAAGTGGCCATTTTTCTTTATTATCTTATTTGTTTTATCAAGATTTTAATAATGATTGGCATCAAGTATACATTTTAATTTAAAAACTCTCCAAATTTGAGATATATGCTTTGATTTTATTAGTTATATATGTTGATTAATTAATTAGTGATTTATTGTGTGTTTTAATCCTTTATTTACATTTTTATGATGTACATTTGCTAGTTTAAATGATTAGTTTTGAAATTGGCAAAAAATAATATTGATTATTTAATTCGTCTTAATTTTTGTCTTATCTCTCAAATTTTGAAATATTCAGTTAACTAGTAAAATGAATATAAGTTAATTATGAAAAATTTTGGTGACAAAATTTTTTATTTGATGTTAAGTGACAATCTATATTTAAATAAATGTTGTTGTTGTTGTTGTTGTTGTTGTTGTTGTTATTGTTATTATTATATTTTGTGTTATGTGAAAAATTTCTAAAGTAATGATCGACACATGTGTCGATCGTACTCATATAATGTATTTCATACTTTATTACACATAGTATAATTAGAAATCATTATCAATAATAATCACAATAATGTATGGTATATATAATAATATGGTGCGGTTAATTATAATGTCGACTAACATTGTAAATTTTCTCTACTACACCAGCCCCCAACTCAAATTTTCTGGCTCCGTCCCTGATCACAACAATTCTGGCATTTAAGAATTAAGATGACTGGACAAAATACTAATGCTTGTTGACTTCGTGTTTATGGTAGTTTGGTGTCGAATGTTTATCCAAATTGAAGAGAAATTTATGGTAATCTGCCTGGTTTTGGGTAGCTATATGACCGTAAGCACTTCGTCTATTCCTGAATGTCAAAAATTCTTGTCTAAGATTAGGATTATCTCATGATTCATGAAGAAGTTCCATAGTGGATATGAGGGTTGGATGTTAAAGATTTTGCAGAACTGCAGTTTGGCCTTGGTGCACGTTTTAAGATATTCGAGATAGAAAATTTCTTAAAGTGATCATGGGGCACCAACATTTTTGTACACTAGAATCCGAAAGAACTGCATGTTTCACCTCTGGTATGTGTTGTGGGCCGTTCTAAAATTGAAATTTTGGCACCTAAGAGCTGGTTATCTTCAAGCAGTCCGTACTCCTATGACAGGGTACACGGTATTGTCGATAAGAGTAAATATATGCCAAATGACCTTTTTACCCCTGCTTTTGACGGCTTAGACGGCAAAAATTAACGGGAGGATGGTAACAGGTCAATTTTTGCAACTCGGAGGACCACGGATTGTAATTACGGAAGTTAGGGACTATAAGTGGTGAAACCACCAAACTCGAAGGACCTTGGCTGGTATTTACTCACAAAAGATTTCATTGATCATAAATTAGTGCAATTACAAATTAAATACAATTTCACTTCTAGTCTACAATATCAAGGGAAGCCTTTTAACCAATTTTCTACCACCTACACTTTTAACATTGGAATTATACAACACCAACACTAACACTGCTACTACAAGTCTATAACAATTGAAATCATCACCAGGCGATAAGAACACTTTGATTTTGACTGTATATACAAATGATCTCCTTCTACAGTAGTTGTAGCTCTAAACCTTGATTTCAACTTTTAGATTTCCTCCTCATTTTGATTTATACGCCGTAACAGTCCAGGGATGATTGCCTTTAACCTTGAACACATAGGAGGATCATACCATCTTACGAATCCACACTCAACCACTCTCCTGCCCTATACCCAAAACCTATTACAATCTAAAATTAAACACTAAAGAAATATAAATTGTTAGAAATTACTCAACCTTATTCGGTCCACAGTCTCAATACCTCCTGTCGGGGTTGTCATTCGTTCATGAGGTGCGTAGCTTCAACGATTCACCACAATGACAACGCATATTTGAAATTAGTTCACCGTGTTGAAACATGGAGTGGTTGCTTGAGGAACCATAGTTGTCTTCAGTGAACTTCGCATGCATCTCGTTGAATTGGCCAATTTAGGAAGAAGCTGGTGTTGCGCTATGGAGACAATGAAGAACACATAGGGCTTTTTCTACATCTTACAACGACCAGGTGAAGGGAGAACGCATGGAGCAGGTGAAATTACTACTCTATCCTTGGATTTCACAGACACTAAACGGTAAAACTAACAGAGGATGAAATTAATTGGGTCAAAATTGAAAAGTTAAAGACTTAATTCATTGAAATAAATACTCGAGAACCAATTTGTGAATTTAGCTATAGTCGAGTGACAATTTTAGGTATTTACTCAAAATATTAGATAGCATCACCTGTTTTATTTTATACAGTATATATTAATATAATCACCATAAACTTTTAAACTAAATAATGTAATTAATACATATATATATATATATAGAATAAAAAATTGAGGATGAAAATTTATAAAGATAATAAAGTTATATAATGTAATTTCCTGGTAAAACGAAACATATATGTGAATAACCTCAATTTCCTCAACAGAATAGTATCTGTGGCTCTGCTGATCGCCTCTGAATGCTATAAATAGCGTTATCAGAATTGCACATTTCAATCATCAAAGCCTCAAAGGCACCCTTATTCAAGAGACAAAAACAAGTAAAAATGGGGTCTACTCAAAAGAATAAAAAGTTGGGTCTTCTTGGAATCGCTTCCATCCTCCTCCTAGCTTTCGTGGTGGCTGCCACCGCCACCGAGTCAGGCAGCGATTCTGGTTCTGGTACCCAGTCATGTCCTGCTGAAGGTGATAACAAGGAGACCTGTGGCGCTCCTGAGATTCACGCTACTAATAAGCTGAGCACACACGAGGTTATGAAGTCGGCGTTTTCGCTGCACGGTTTGGCGGACGCGATTTCCAAGTCGGATCAAATAAAGAAGGCGGTGAAATCCATTTGCGAGTCCACCGATTTCAAGGAGCTGTGCGAGAAGAGCGTTGCAAAAGCTAATAACTCCAACGACCCCAAGGAGCTTATCAAGGCTGCGTTCTCGGTGGCTTGGGAGAACATCGCCGACGTCATTTCCAAGTCGGAGCTTATCAAGAGGGCGGACAAGGACCCCATGACCTCCGGTGCACTGGACGTATGCAAGGAGGTGCTAGAGCACTCAATTTCAGATTTCAAGAGGTCTATTTACGTACTTGACAAATCTACTACCCTCAACAACCGACACGGTAACGATCTCAGGGTTTGGCTAACCGCCGCCATGACTTTCCAAGAGACTTGCTTGGATGCCTTCGAGAACACCACCGGCGACACCGGCGAGAAAATGAAGCACCTCCTTAAAACCGCCATGGAGCTCACCAGCAACGCCCTGGCTATTGTCACTAAGCTTGACGATTTCCTCAAGAGCTTGGAAATCCCTGGCATCAGTCGTAGGTTGTTAGAAGAACCCACACCGAAAGATGACAGTGGAGAACCATTACACTCCACTGATGAAGAGATTCCTCAATTCGTAGACCCTGCCACTCGCCACCTCCTGGCTGCTCCCCCCAAAGCCGACATTGTGGTTGCCCAGGACGGAAGTGCCAAGTTTAAGACCATCAACGCCGCTCTTGACTCCATCCCTGCCATAAACGACCGCCGAACCGTCATCCTCATCAAGGCTGGCGTGTACAAGGAATACGTGATTGTTCCTAGTAAGAAGAACAACATTGTTTTCATGGGAGAGGGCCCGGCCAAAACCGTGATCACCGGAAACAAGAATGTCGCAGACGGGGTCGTTGGCGGCACTTATAAGAGCGGCACGGTGACTGTTGAAGCGGAGGGTTTCGTTTGCCGAGATCTTACAATCGAGAATACGGCCGGGCCGCAGAAGGGACAAGCCGTGGCTCTTAGAATCTCAGGCGACATGGCGGCGGTCCACAATTGTCACCTCAATGCCTACCAAGATACCCTCTACACCCACTCTTACCGCCAGTTCTACCGCGGCTGCACCATCAGCGGCACCGTCGACTTCATCTTCGGGAATGCCCCTGTTGTGTTCCAGAGCTGCAAGATGATCGCGAGGAAGCCATTGGAGGGTCAGGCGTGCATGGTGACCGCTCAAGGTAGAAAGGACAGACGAGGAGCAGCCGCCATTGTCATCCAATCCTGCGACATCGTCGCTGAACCCGCCCTGAAGGCCGCCAACCCACCCAACAAAGTGTTCCTCGGGAGGCCATGGAAGGAGTTCTCCAGGACACTCATCATGTTCTCTTTCATTGACAACATCGTCGTCCCAGAAGGTTGGTCTCCATGGAAGGGCAACTTTGCACTTGACACTTGCTGGTACGCAGAGTATAAAAACCGCGGCCCAGGAGCTTCAACCGATAAAAGGGTGAAATGGAAGGGTTACAAGAGGAACATTTCTCCAGAGGTTGCTAAGCAGTTTACTCCTGGACCGTTCCTGATGGCTGATGAAGAATGGCTCGGGCGTGCCCAGATCCCCTTTTCTCCTGGATATGTGTAGAATAAGCAAGCTATCATGAGAGAGAGTCCGATCAACCTACTTTTACTATAACTATCGAGTAGATAGGAGGAGTTTTCATGTGAAAACCTCATCTCACTAAACTAACCACTTGTTTGGCTCATTCATTGAGATACAAATTTTGAGTAATATCCTCTTCCAACCATAGGATAGTTGGAGGATTACATTACTTTTGAATCATAATAAAAATTTTGGTTTCAATTTACTTTTGCCTACTTTACATATCACTATAATTGTAGTAGTGATATGATAGTTAGTCATTCTTAAATTCCTACAAGCTTTGATCCTTAATTTTATGTTTAGGTTCCTCGAATCAATATTTTAGTGAACGTAGCTTCTAATGTCTCAACTTAAAAAGTGTTGGCAAGATAAAATTTTATTGTATTATCCCTTCTTTATTGGTTCCTCGGCCTACTGGTTTGGCTGTCCGGCGAAAGAAGCATAAACACAGAATGAAGGACTCTCTAGCATGCATTTCCTGTCAGGGATCTTCTTGTGTATTTTCGTTTATGACTGATCAAGTGCCCAATGGATAGGGAGAAAATCCCCAAATGGGTTACAGCAGTTTTCCCAGGTGGATCAAAAGTTGAATGCTGATATGCTATAGAGGTATTGAAAAAAAGGGATGTTTTTTGCAGACAACTGCTTCAGTTGATGAGGATAAACAAAATAAATTTATTCGACCACTGCAAGGGTTCGTGTGAATGCTGGACCCTGTCATGGCAGTCAACCTGTTGCAAATATTCAAAAGTGCTAATGGTCAAGGTAATTTTCATATATACTATGGTTAATGATCAGGCTAATATTATGCATACTAATAATCATAGTGTTATTGTTAATCCGGTGCATGGTTCAACTGCTTTGGCCCATAGTTCTGATCATAATTTGTTAAGTGTGCAAAATAATGCTAGGGGTGCTAATGTGCATGATTTGTTTGTCCCTAATCCTACACAAGTTGGCGATATTAGTAGAGTTGCTGGTGGCTAAGATGATTAGGGAATTCAAATGCATATATAATCTTAATTAAGTCTTGAATTGTCTTAAACGTTGAGGTGGATCTCACATCCTATATGTTTTCAATTGAGCTATAGGTTGATTTTATATATATATATATATATATATATATATATATATATATATAATTTTGCTCAAAAGGCCAACAAAGTAAAAATTCTAAATAAACATGTATAGTGTCACTCTTATATATATTGTGATGAGCTATTACAATATAATCTGGTGTGCAGGCCTATTAATCCTTTTAAAGGCGGCATGAGACTTATCTACAGCACAATCATGAATCTTGTGGGATTCATAAATAAGCTATAGCTTTGGGCTACTTTAATCTCCTCTACTTGACAATGTATTTGGTCATTATTGGGCTACTTTCTAATAAGATCTGGAAGATCTCAAATGGGATTGATCTTTAAGGTGACTAATGACTCATGAATAAAGTTTGCAACTTCTATTTCTAATGTTATGTTACTCTCCAAAAGTCAAAATTGCCTCACATCATGCTGGTTTGCCTGAACCAAACAAATTGTGAATAATTTTTTTGTTTACACATAGAAATCACTGCCTGAAAATTCTGACCGGCGCAGTTTGAAAATTAAATTCGTGAAAAAAATACTTCTTGAACTCCTTTTGGCATGAATTTTTTCCTGGAAAACCTAAACTTGTGTTATAATTTCTTGATATTTGTATTAGTAATTCAATAATTAATTATAATATAGTTAAATTTTCATCCCGTGCATCGCACAGGTGCAATACTAGTTATAAATAAAAGGAGTTCTATTTGGACAGATACTTATTTAAATCATCTTATGACATATATACATGAAAATTTATATGGTGCACCAGGGCGCACATTGCATTGTGTGTCTTGGTGCAAAACGACGTCGTTGTGCACCTTTTTTTTTTTTTTGAAAATTTCACTTTTCCGTGTTTGCTGTTAACTTGGTAAAAAAAAAAAGTCATGCTTTGAAAATGTACATAATTGTATACTAAAATGTACATAATTGTATATGAGAATGTACATAAACTTTTAACTGTTAAAAAAATTGTGTGTTCGAATGTACATAATTGTATACCAGAATGTACATAATTGTATAACATAATGTACATTATTATATAACATAACGTACATAATTATATAACATAATACACATACACTCTGTCGCGTCAACTCCCCACACAACTTATCAAAACGACGTCGTTTTAAAAGGCACAGGGCGCACAATGCTATGTGCACCGTGGTCCAGGGTATAACGATTGTATATACATGTATCAATTGTTTTGGGCCAACAACTTGATTCATTTTTCAAGCATGGAAGAATATATTACTTTAAAATTGAAATTCAATTTATTATTTGAATTTATTATCGAATATGCTCATAAATTAAATTGCGATCATTGTGCAATAATATGATGAATTATTATGCATATTTTGTCTTATTAGCATAATCTATAGTTTTAATTATGCAGATTACAAATTATTCTTTAGAGGTGGACCCTCGTTTTTAGCCAGCTTTAGTATATATAGATTTTTATTTTTTTGGCAGAATCTCAATCTTGGTTGTTATCACCAAGTGTGAATTCATCAAGCTTGGTTTCAACAAGAGCAATTACTTAGAAGTTCACGAGCGATGAGGCCTAGAAAGCTAAAAGCCCTAATTTCTCTTCTTTTTTTTTCCTCGCCACCATCTGAACCATAACCTGAAAATGAATACATTTCTAAAAAAGGACCCATATGCCTTTTAGAAAACCCAGGAGGATAGTTTTAACTATCAAATATTCCTAGCCATTCCTTAGATACAATTTGACTGACTTAACTTGAGATTTCAAGATGTTAAAGTCAGTGACTGATTATAACTTGGCTTTACACAAAATTGTGTCCCAATTTAACACTGCACCAGTGCCTGAAGCATACAATGTTGCTCAGTCATGCAACGCCAAGAGGAGCCGAGGAAGAGGTCGCGATAGGAATCAAGGCAAAGGTAGCAACAATAACTCCCGAAACCATAATACACAGCAAAATGATCCAACTCGTCAAGGACAACCACTTTCATACAATTAGAACTCTAGCCCAGCAGCAAGTATGCTTCAAGTGCAGGTGTATAGAACACTGATGATCAAGTACGTGCCACACCCCGAAGCATTTTTTAAAAAACTACCAACGGATTGTAAAAACACGATTATGAGAAGCACAAGGTTGAATCCAACCATGTTGCATTGCCTGAAGCAAACACTCTTGTTGGTAATAATGTTGATCTACTAAAACATGAGCACAATGCATGTTTGATCATTATCTACAAACTTCTAACTTCTTCCTTCCATTATTGATAAGGATTTTCTTTGTGGGCTCCGGTAGAGCTTCACTTTTACTCCATTACATCCTGAAGAACTCACAAGATGACATGAGAATTGAGATCACAAGATTTTAGTTCTACTAGCACCGACAATGAAAATTTAAGTAAGTCAACTAGTGAAGTGAGGGATATTCGCAAATCGCAATAATATTGTTACTTTTTTATGAGATGCTAGATCATAAATTTGATATATATTTAGACTTTAAATTGCAATATATATCAATATTTAAATTTAAATTTATAAAAATATCATTATATGTCTGTTTACGTACACGTATATCCTTTTATTCAACAACTAATTTTACTAAGGGAAAATGGCACGTTTTCCCGAGTTATATACTTATAATACTTTTTCTCCCTGAATTATTCAAGTGGTTGTTTTCCCCCCCTGAAATGTTAAATAGACATATCTACCCTTAAAATAAATATTTCATTTATTTTTCTTCTCCAACAAATTACGGCCACGGTTTGGTTCAAATCGAATAGACACTATAGCAACCAAGCGAAATATTCTAATTACAATTTAGAATCAAAACTTGATATTTAGAGTTTATTAAAATCGCAAACTGAAACAGCCGGTTCATGTTCCGAACTCAAAATAAAATATATAATACCTTTATTGTTGAATTTAGACTATTTTAAAATAAAAAATAAAATTTTAAAATAAAGACGGTTCAAAATCGCAAATCGGATCCAGAACTGTCGGTTCACGGTTCAGGATCAAATTTTTACGATTCATAATTTTAATAAACTGAAATCTATATATTGGGTTCTAGATCTGAATCATAACCGGAAACTTTCAATTCGATTTCTATAGTGTCCGGTTTAGTTCGAACTGAACCGTGGTCATCCCTACGTATAAGCAATAATTTGTTGGATATGAAAAATAAATAAAATGTTTACTTAGCTTTAAAGGTAGAAGTGCCAATTTAAAACACGTTATATACAGATATAAATTTTTTTCGGATATCAAATGTAAAAATCTTACATATATTAAACTTAAAAGTAAAAAAAAAATTAAATTTATCCCATTTAAACCAAACATATGTAAAAATATTTTAAATATAAGATCTAAAACTCATTCGAAATTAAACTTGTGTTAATTTTATAACATTAATCTATAAAAAAAATTAAATTTGAAAAAATAAGTGTTAGTAAACAAGTAATTTCTAAACAAAAACCATATAATAAAAATGAAAAAATTAGAAAACATGAAAAAGAAACAGTTTTCTGTTAATAAACATGGCCTTACTTCTTTTGAATTCGATCTCAATATATTCTTTCTATATTTTTCATATACTCGTTTTAATAATGGTGTATTAGTGTAATATGTTGATCTACTAAAACATGAGCTTAATGTTTGATCATTATCCACAAACCTCTAACTTCTTCCTTCCATTATTGATAAGGGTTTTCTTTGTGTGCTCCGGTAGAGCTTCACTTTTACTCCATTACATCCTGAAGAACTCACAAGATGACCTGAGAATTGAGATCACAAGATTTTAGTTCTACTAGCACCGACAATGAAAATTTAAGTGAGTCAACTAGTGAAGTGAGGGATATTCGCAAATTGCAATAATATTGTTACTTTTTTATGAGATTGATAAGTGCGTTTTTGTCTATATTTTTACCCCTTCTTGAACCAATTTTATTTGTGAATTGCTTAAAAACTTGTGTGAATTGTGACTAAGTTATGTTGGTTTTATTTCAAGGTGCAATCATTCACAACAAGTGAGAAATTCAATGATTTTTGGAAGATACGAGCAATTTTTGGATCAAGAGATCAATCAAAGAGTTTGGATTGCATTTAGGAATTTTCAGCAGCCTCGTACCCCCTCCCGTACG